ACACGTGCATTTGCACACACAGTCCACACAAACTCACTGAAGGGGAAGTGAGTCACCAGGGAGAGGGCCTGCCTTCACTCAACTTGAATCTCAGGTGGCTTGGTAAATTAAGCACCCCCTCCATATCAGGACCTCTTCCAAAGGCCATTAATTTCCCCCCTGTGGCGCTGACTGTTTAGCAGCACTAAGAGAACACACAAGGCTTTTACATTGTTGAAGCCATCCAGCAGCTTTCTGCGTCCTTGGCAGGGGTATAATTCTGTTGTAGCACTACAGCGCTAGTGAGGCAAGCAGTGAGGATTTATTAAAATCAGCAGTTTTACCTTTACACCCAGAAATAAATGACTTACCAGTACACTGGTTTCCAAATGGGAAAATCTAGTGCAGTAGCACCATTATTATATTTAAATAGAAGGAAATCTTGAGCTTTGCCTGTTTTTGATGTCATAAAGATTGCTGCAAAAAGAAGGGCAGTTAGATGGATAATTAAGCTGGATAAAAAGGATTTAAGCAGCAATACCTATTACCACACTGGACTGCATTTTACTGTTCACTAAGTGTAAATATGAAAACATCAGAGGCATAATTGAAGAGCCTCAATGTTAGCATTTTTCCACCCTCTTATCTATACCATAGTTAGACAAGAGGGTTCAGTTCTCAATAATCAAGGCACTTGGTAATGTAAGGTAAAGCCTTAATAATAACAGAGAGAATACCCCAACAATCAGAAGACCCATATGAGCAAAGACTTGGCAACAGCAGGAAGGAAAAACTCCTTTTTAACAGGAAACAACCATGTGCTGCTGCCAGTTTGGGAGTGAGGGGCTGGAGACAGGACAAGTTCTGTAGCATACAGTCTGTACCAAGCAGGAGGTCATATTTGTCAGATAATGACATCAACAATAAAAACAAACATAAAAAAAAACATAAAAATGGGTGTGCTCTAAAAGGAGCTACTATAAAGTTTTTTTTTATTAAAGGCTGTAAAAGTGTTAAATTCATTGCTGAAGTTGGGTATTTCCCCACAGGAGTCAGTGGGGACTGTCTTGCTTTTGAAGCCAGCCACAAGTAGCCAATGCAGGAACTACTGTTTTTGCTACTCATTTCTCAGCCCTGGAGGTTGCTGCTTTGAAATGATAGCTTTGTGCTGCTAAGCTAAGCAAACTGCCCGATGAATGCCACTTTATATTTATCATGCAGAGTGAGAGTAATATCTCCAAGCTCTCAGCAATAAAGTGAAAAGTATTTAATGTCAGACGATGTAATCCTATAAGCTGGGATTTAGACCAAAAGCAAAAGGAAGGGCTGCTTTTGTAAGGGTGTCTGTTATTTATAGTGGCTACCGGTAAGACAATCGATCCAGGAAGTCCAGCTGGAGTAAACAGATTAATGCATTTAATGGCTTAACAGTTGCCAAAACACTTTACAGCGGACATGACCTGATTGTTTTAGGCATCAAAGATGGAATTACTTTATCTTTAATGGCAAAGGTAAACAGAAGCAGTTTGTTTGGTTTGGCAAAGCCACCCTATGCAGGCACCCCTCCATTCCAGGCATGATCAGACTCTGACTGAGGAGATTTTACATCTCTTCCTTGATGAAATCCCCAAATCGAGTAACATTATTTTATTTGTTACGAGAATACACCCCGTAGACTGACAGATCAAAGGCGCGGTGGGTGGTGTAGCTTTTTACAGCTTTTTCTGCTTGTTTCCTTTTAAGTAGAGTTCTCACTGTTACATAAAAAACATCCGCATTTCTTGCTTTTTCGACTTAACTTCAGTGGACATGTTACATCGGCTCCCCGTCTGCGCGTTCAGTGAGCGGCAGCCACTGATGCAGCATGATGGGTGACACTTTCCCTCAAGAAGGCGAGCCGGGGATCTGTGGGCACAGACGTCTTCCTGTGAAATGTCACACCCTTCTGTCCTCAACATCACGGTGAATACAAATGACAGGCTGTTTGCCATCTGTGAACCGATTGGCTCCTTGCTCAAAGGGCCGGGGAGGCCACTCTTCATGAAAGTTAACAGTAGGCGACGGGAAGAAGATATAATCTATTTAATCTACTAATAAACATTAACAACGGGGAAAGATGATTTTCACCCTTCTGTTTATGTATGAAATGTTAGAACTCATATGGGTATTATCAGTATTTTTTCTTTTTGGCCTTTTCTTTGAGCTTCTTTCTTGATATTTTCATTTAACACATACTTTACTTATTTAGATTTGCCCTATTTGGTCTACATTTGGTCAACAATGTTGTTTTTTTTAAGGCCAGACTGTTGCTGAGAATTTCAATGGGGTCTAATCTGCTGGAAATTATGAGGTGTGTACACAGTGAATGAAAAAAAAAATGAAATAAAGATTACTGGTGCTTGGGTTGTCAGAACGAGATGCTGGGAAGGTGAGAGACTATTGTTTTAACACCTTCATTCTCACTTTTACCCTGCATGTCTGCCAGTCAGTGTGACAAGTACATTTCAGTGCTATTGCCTCCTCAGGTCAGTTGTTCTTGCTTTTACCACTATACAGCAAAAATACACTTCATTAGGTCCACATTGCTTACATTGTGTTGGATGTCCTTTTGCATTCAGAACTGCTTTAATTCATCATAGATTTGGATCCATCAGAATTTTTGGTTCATATTGATATGACAGCTTCACACAGTTGCTGCAAATTTGTCGACGGCGCATCCATGATGCAAATCTCTTTTTCCACCACATGCCAAAGAGGCTGTGTTTGACTGAGATCTGTGACAGTGGAGGCCATTTGAGTACAGTGAACTCATTGTTGTGCTCAACAAACCACCCAGTAGAAATTTCAGTACTGAATAGCTGTTAGCTGGTGGTCTTTTCTTCCAATATAACAATTGAAAGACGTCACAGATGTTACTTTGGCATTGGTTTGAGGTACTTCTTAAACATTGCCTCGATATCTTGATTAGACTTTGTAGAGAAAGTTTGCATTTAAGGTTTTTTTCTTTGTTGTTGGTTTGTTAGTTAGAATAAATGAAATGAAATTAATTATAATTATTGAGAAAAGAATTATAAGAAGAAAAAAAACCCTAAATGTTGGATTGATGTAATCTATTTCATATGTTGTAAGAGATGTTCTGACATGAACTCTGTATAGGAGCATGGTCTGTCCGTCTATGGTTAAGTTTTATATGTTGTACTGCAACCAGTTTTGATCAGCGTTAGGGGTTTAATTATGTTTGCTGGAAAGTTTAAGATGGTTTGAGCTTCATGACACGGTGCGTTAATGTTGCTGGAAGCAGCCATCAAATGATAGATACATTGTGGTAATAAAGGGACGGACATGGTCATCAACAATAATCAGCAAGGCTGTGGAGTTTAAATGATGCTCAGTTGGTGCTAAGAGGCCCAAAGTGTGCCAAGAAAATATCCTCCACACCAATGCACCACCACGACCAGCCTGACAAGCTGATACGAGGCAGGATGGATCCATGGGATTTATGTTGTTTATGTCAAATTCTGACCCTACCATCTGAATGTTACAGCAGTTGGGGCTCGACAGATTGCTGCTGTAACATTAACAGATTTTTCCAAATCTTTTTGTTCCCATCTGACAAGACGTGTAGGTCTGTCGAAGCAGTTCTGGGAGCGCTTTGTATTTAGTTGCTGTTGTTTTGCAACAGTACTACCACAAGTGAGCCTGGGACCAAAGATAACGTCTACATCTTCTTCATTACGGTCCCGTTTTTCAATAAGTGTGGCTGATGGAAGCAATTCTCAGCGACCACTTCTAGTTTACAGGCTTCACCCTGTCTGCCTTTGAGCACCAAAAACAACTCATTCTCCCCACTTTAACTCTCTAAGTATCCAATTTCATATGGTACCATGTGAAATTCCAGAAGGAAATTGCCTTTTCAATGCTATTCCAGTGGACTTTAAATGCAGCTTCGGTTACCTTTTGATCAAGGATAAAGAATACGTGCATATATATAGTAGCAGTAGTTGGGTTTCACATGAAAAGTACTCACCAAGTGGTAGGTACTGCAAAGGAGAGGTTAAACCTGGCAGATTGACAATGTGTCCTCATGAACTCAACTATAGCCTGTAAAAAGCTATTTTTGTGCAGGAATATTAGCTTCAATCAAACACACTGACTTTGAACCAATGAGACTGCAGGCTAAAAACTGGTTAATGCTTCAGTGGCTTTGGACCCTTTCACTCTCACATGCACCTCTTTCGGGTGATGTGTAGGAAAGTTCAGGGCTCTAAAACGTGTGTTAAAATGGGTCATAAAACCTTTTAGCTGTGTAGGTAGAGTCATTTGCATGTTCTACATGAAAGCAAAGCAGTACTTTGAAATTCAGAGGTTTTTTTTTTAACATGACGACAATATGATTCAATTAATTCATTTTGTCAGATGTGTTTTCCTCAGCTGGAAATACACTTCCATAAACAGCAAACACCACACTGATAATGTCCTAAAGATAATTTAGGTGACAAGAAGACACTCGACACTTTCATTTCTGCATGGCAGATATGACCGGTAACTTCTTTGAGTCTATGCTGGTTGCCTGGCAACTGGTCCCAGCATAGTCTGACCACAGCCTAGTACAAAACTGTGAATTGGCATGAATTTTTTTACACTTTGCTTTCTGCTTTGTTTTTGTTTTAAATCAAATAAAATGTAACAATAATGTCAGGTTTTTAAAGTGTCCACTTCATATCAGTGATTTTAAGACTCTCTTGCTAGTTTATGAAGTTGCTAAATGCCAATCACCAGCATTATCTCAGTCAGGCTTTCTAGTTTATGTAGCTAGGTCCCTGACGAGTCAGAATCTCAGGAGTTCTGACTTGAGGCTGCAGAGCAATCTGCCTCAGAGTCAGAAGGACTCCATCTTTGTAGAAACCCTCAAAACCCCTTTTATGAAAGATTAGAAAATCCATTTAATGTACATCTTTTCTTCCTTACACTGCCTTGGTGGGAGTGTTGGTATAAACTGTCCTGTTCATTTGTGTCTACAGTCTCGGCAGACCCCAGAGGGCGAGTTCCTGCCTCTGGATCAGTGTGAACTGGATGTAGGTTTCGGGACGGGGGCGGATCAGCTCTTCCTAGTGTCACCTTTGACTATCTGCCATGAGATCAACAGCAACAGCCCGTTCTTCGACCTGTCACAGCGCTCGCTCATGAACGATCAGTTTGAGATTGTTGTCATTCTGGAGGGCATTGTGGAGACCACTGGTAAGAACGTATTCTTATTTCTGAGGTCCTTTTGCTGTCTTTTTTAAAAACAACTAACTTTGTGTAAGCATCGCTGTCCCTTATCATTTGTCTCATCATCATTTAGCAGGTGTTAGATGGAGCTTCTCAGTAATATAAAATGAAATATTTAACACAATGTTTAATTTCATGGTGTTTAATTATTCAAAACACAAGGCTGCTTCCATCTCTGTTAGTTTTTCATGTTTCCCTCTCCCTTGTCCCTGAAGCAGTTCACCACTTTCATATCAGCTTCCTGTCTGGCTGTCAGTCCATTTTTATTTAATACAGTTTTCCTCATAATGTTACAGCGTGTTAGTCATCTCCTCTTTGTCTTTTCCCCTGTCTGTATTTGAAATATTTTTCTACTCTGTCTCTTCTCTTCATCTCAGGTATGACATGCCAGGCAAGGACATCTTACACTGAAGATGAAGTCTTGTGGGGTCATCGCTTCCTCCCTGTCATGTCTCTTGAAGAGGGCTTCTTCAGAGTCGATTACTCCCAGTTCCACAACACCTTTGAAGTCCCCACACCTCCCTACAGTGTCAAAGAGCAGGAGGAGAAGTCCTCCCTGACGTCACCCAACCCCCTGCCTGTTGCGCCTACTCCCCCTTCGCCTCTGCTGAAGAACAGCAGCCGAGTAGGCCGCAGGGAGAGGCTCCTGTCAGCTGACAATGCAGACCATGTAGACGATCAAGTCTCCAGGCTGCCCAGCAAACTCCAGCGCATGAGCTCCAGCAGGGAGGAGCATCTCTGGAGGGGGCTGAAGACTGGGTCAGCCTTGCCTGGGGGGAAGGCCTCCAGCACAGGAGATCTGCCGCTTAGTATTCAGAGGCTGAGGTCCAGCTCCATCCCTGTAGTGAGGCAAGGACATCCGGAGGAGCAGGTCCAGCTGTTGTCTTTGGATGGAGAAGCTGAGGAGAGTGAGCTGGAGAAGCACAGATTGCCCACAGCCATTAGCACCATTGCTGCTCCAACCCCAGCACCAGTCCAGATCTCCTTGGTAGGGAGTCGGCCAGAGGACAACCTGCCTCCCAAACTGCGCAGAATGAATGCTGACCGCTGACATCTGCAAACTACCTTCAGGACTAAAACTAATTTGAAAAATTTATCAGGCTTGATGGGCATTGCATATAAGTAAAGTCTACTGTGATCTAGTTTTGTTTTGTTTTTTGTAATTTCTGCAGATTCTCTCCAGTTTTCAGTATTTCTTATCAGGCTCTTTACTAAGTTGTCCATTGCCACAAATAGAAGGACAACACCAATAAGCCATCCATCCGCTCATACTGTGACTCAGTTTTGATATATCACCATCTGTGCCCCCCACTGACTTTTAACATTTATGTCCTTGTGCTTGTTCCTTTCATTTCTTTTCCCAGAAGTTGCATCAAAGACTTTCTTATGGCCTCAAACTGCTGTATCCACTTTTTTAAATTGAACAAGCACCAAAGTGGCAGTTATAAATCAGACTGATCATTTGCTAAACCAGCTCCCTTAAAACAGTGACTGTCCAGTGGCTTCTTAGCAAAGATAACCAGGCACGGCAAGTCTGTCAAGCTTTGGATTCACTTATTATTCTTGATTTCTCATATAATAAGTGTGCAGTGGTGTTTAAATTAAGCCTTTACCAAACATAAAACAATGTGCAAAAGGATAAGAAAGTGTTTTAGAGGTTTGCTCATTTGTATCAATGTAAAATTTATCTGTAGCAGATGCTGTTTGCTACGGGACAACCTACTGTAGTAGTCAAATAGTACCTAATCTCTAAAAACAGATTTTGCATATGAATATGTACAATCTGTAGGCAAGACACAACATTTCTGTACCAGGCACACTCTGGTTTCTTTTTGTAGTCTTTTTGTAGTCCAGGTGCACTTTACTAGCAATGCGCCGATATGATATTTGGATCAGATTTTGGTCCGAGCCTAATTGTAAAGGCTGGATTGGATATTGTTTAAAACGAGATGATCTATGACCAATCTATTCATTTTTACTGTATTTGATTCACTCAGCAGCAACAGTGGTTGCTATTGGCCAAGCTAACAAAGTACTAAGTAAGCTAACAGCAAAGCAGCAGTTGATGCTTTCTCTTTCTTGGTCCTTCACTTGTTTGGAAGCTTTTATTACTCTTTATTACACTCTTGGTTACATAATGTGCTTGTGCCAGCTCAACTTCACACCAATATATTGAGGAGCAGTAAAAGCAGGTGAACTCGGATTGAGAGGAAGTAAAGGAGAAACTTGCATGACTGTCAATGAAAGCAGTGTGCAGTAGGCTTGCACTGAGCTCGGACTAATGCAAATAAATTAGATAAATAATGAAAATTACATTTTAGATTTTATTATTTTTTCCTGTTGTTGTTTATTATTTTATTAATAAATATAAAATCAAGTACATTTCTATTCTTGGATGCATGTATTTGTTAGGAAAGCATGATTTAAGTTGAGCCTGGTGCTAGCTAAAGCATAAGGAATGATACTCTTCCTCACAGTGAGGATTACAGTTTATTATTAACTCTGGTACCGGATCAACAGATACTCAATGCCAAGATCTCAGTATTGGATCAGAATTGGTAAAAGCAGGATTGGTGTGTCCCTATTATTGACTAACTTTGGTTGATAGTCATTTTGTAGAACAATAGAGGAATATGCATTTGCTAAAACACATCAGATAACTATCACCTATTGCCTAACAATGATTTGAGTTTTTATTTGCTTTTTTGCCTGACATCACAAACACTAATCAGAGGATGGAAAAAGAGAGTAAGGTTCTAAGACTATATCCTCTTTAATTAATTAAATTTATTTTTACGTAAAATCCAGCAGCTTTAGCTTCAGTCTTTTTGCACAGTATCATGTCTGAAGACATCCAGTGCATATTTAGATAATTTTTTCAAGATTAGGCATTGTTTTTGGGTTTTTTTGCTAACATTGACCTTTCATCCCACATGCACAGCTTACATTAGCCTAATTAGCTAGTTAACGTAAGGCTAACAAAAAATCAACGGCTTATCTACAATTTAGTAGAAAAACTGCATGAGTGCCATACAAGAAAGCAACAGGGGGACAGGGTTTAACTTTACACAATTTAACCTGAAGTGGATCCCTGATACACATGTTACATTAATATGTTTTAAGGACTACTATTTATTTGGATGCTCACATGAGCAACTGCATTACCTATTGTGCAATTTTAACAATTTTTACCTCTTGGTGCACTGTTTGCATTGGACCATTACACATGGGGTGCCAAATGCAATCACAAATCAATTTTAGACTGCAGAGTTTCTGTCATTATTAACTGGTTTATCAAAATGTAAAAAAACAACAGCAACAAAAAAAAAAACAATGTAGGAATGCAGGGAAGATGACGTCAGAGGATCTGTGTATTATTGCCAATATAAAGGAAAGATTACTTCATATTGCAACTGCTAAATAATAAATTCTTTGAAAACACAACTGTGCCTGTTAGCACTGATTTTTCCCTATGAAAAAAAAGCTGTATTGCCTTTTCTGTTTGACTCAGCTTGTATATTTGCACACTGTACTCAACATCCAGAGCAGTTTCATCCTGCAGAATCTATCAGCAGCTCATGTGTCACCTGCTGTGATGGCTAAACCAGCATTCATCAAATATTAAAGCCTTAAACGTGAGCGTGAGTTTGTTCTGTTTTGAAGCAAATTTTAGAACGACAAGCAAGATCCTTCAGACAAAATCTTCAGGTAGTTACCCCTGGCTGGAAGGTTAACCGAGTTAAATCTAGCCCCTCAACCTTCTCCTCTGGCTGCAACTTACTGTATATTATATATATTATATATTTACTTATATTTTAGTTTTCAAGCTGCCAAAAATCACAGGTTAAAGGAGCTTGATAAGTGGCATAATTGCTGCTGACACATGTACTCCATAGGCAGAAAATCTTGCAGAGATAAGACTTAAACATCAGAGGATGTCAAGCGTTTATTAGTCATGCTGCAAAGAATAGCAGAAGAATGAAATGTGATTATGTAACTAGTTGAGAGTAAGAAATGACCTCCGTCCAGCTTAAGATAAAATTAACTCAGATAAATGGTGGTGGGAAAGAATAAATCAAAGACATAATAATGTATAATGATGGACCAACTGAAATATGCATTCATTATTCAGTGATCATTCAAATGTGCTTGGGGAAAAAAAGATTAGTGTAATTTTCATTCAAAGGCACTTTCTTGATAAAAATTTTATATATATAAACAGTTTGCCTCATTTGTATTCACTGACTTATTTCATATTTGGGTTATGCTAAAACACTAACGAAATTGCATTTAATCAAGCAAAAGTAAAACACACAATAAGTGCTTATCATTACCTTGAAGATCATAAGAAAAAACCTTCAACAGGAAAATTTTAATTTAAAATTGGTAGATTTACTGGAGCAGCAGGAAGGAAAAAACATCCTTTTAGTAGAAAGAAACCTCCAGCAAAACTGAAGACAGACATAGGCCTTGATCACTTAGGGATTGAGGGAAAATAAAAGATAAAAAAAAAACAGATCATAGAGAGGACAAAACACATAGTATGTGAGAAAGAAGATAAAATTCAATTTCATGGCTGCAGTGTATAACACACCACCCAGCACGCCCCTGCGGGCGGTTTATCCTTCAAGCTCGGGTCCTCTACCAGAGGCCTGGGAGCTTGAGGGTCCTGTGCAGTATCTTAGCTGTGCGCTCTTCTGGACAGAGATCTCCGATGTTGTTCCCGGGATCTGCTGGAGCCACTCGCCTAGCTTGGGAGTCACCGCACCTAGTGCTCCGATTACCACGGGGACCACCGTTACCTTCACCCTCCACATCCTCTCGAGCTCTTCTCTGAGCCCTTGGTATTTCTCCAGCTTCTCGTGTTCCTTCTTCCTGATATTGCTGTCATTCGGAACCGCTACATCGATCACTACGGCCGTCTTCTTCTGTTTGTCTACCACCACTATGTCCGGTTGGTTAGCCACCACCATTTTGTCCGTCTGTATCTGGAATAGAGATGGCACGATACCACTTTTTTATGTCCGATACCGATATCATAAATTTGGATATCTGCCGATACCGATATGAATCCGATATAGTGTTTTTTAATCAAAAAAACTGGTTTTTTTTAAATATCTTGCTGCATTTTGTATAAGTTCATACTCAAGTTTAAAACAACAACTACACTAAAGCTATTCTGTTATACCTGTATGCAAAACAAAATATTTCATAGTTCAGCAATACTGATCAATCTAATAAACTTAAACCTACACCATCCTCCCTATTCTGGTATTTTAAAGAGTACTTAGCATAAATATTAAGCAACCTAACTAATAGGGTTCCAACTCCCAGCAACAGCAAAAATAAATAAATAAAAAATAGGGAACCACCCCTCACGCTCCACCTCATGATGCTTAATCGACGTAATCAACCTTAATTTGATGCAGTGTGAAAAAAAATGCACAGAAATCAATTATTTTTCAAGAAATATTAAATAGATTCAACATCTTTCTTCAACAAAATTGCAGACTGCACAGATGGTACTTTCCCAAAGGAAAAAGTACTATATCTAGGGTATATATATTAGACTTAATAGTCACTATATACAGTAATTGACTTCTATTCCTTTTACATCAAATTAAAACTTTGGGTGTCAGATAATTATTTATTAAAAGCTCGACATTTTAAATGAGAATAAGAAAGAGAAGTATGTCTTTGTGCCCCCTTTTCCCTGTTAATGCCCTATCGGCCCCCCTGGCTAAACTTTGCTAGATCCGCCCCTGCACAGTTACCAGCGTCAGCTTCGTAGAAAAAGATCCTGGTGTAGAAAGTAATATTAAATACATTCTAACAACAGCTTATCAAGCTTAAACGTGTTGCTGTTGTTTATCCGCTGGTTCCCTCTTTCTGGTGCAAAGTGGGCCAAAAACAAACAAGAGACACGGACTCGCGACAGAAAAGCCGATCAGCTGATCATTAATGCTGGGCTCACACTGTGCGATTTTTGGCCCATTTTGAGCCGATTTTTGAGTCGTGCGACCGTTTTGGCGATCGGCCCGATTTTGGCCTTCATCGTGCGTCGTGCATCGTGTAGTATACGTGGGGTAACGAGACGCGATTAACACCTCGCGACCAGCTCCCGATCATCAATCGCTTGGTCGCGAGGGTGTCACTGCAGTTTGTCACACTGCGCACGCACAAACACAAATGTCAGCGAAAAAAAAGACGGAGCAGCACGGCAGTGCAGCGTGTGATCTGGACACAAGCGATGGAGGCACAACTTGTAGAACTATGGAAAGCTCATCCGAGCCTTTTCGATGTGGCCTCACAAAATTATCACGACACAACAACCTTAAAAATAGTTGGATCTACATTGCTGCTCAATCACAGCTGCCTGATCAATGTTTTTCATTAGCAATTTAGCAAAGTTGATGGTGGTGGTGTGTCTGTGTGAGTGAAAGACAGAGAGGGAGAGCAAGCGACAGAATTTCTATTATAACCTCCATTTTATGTACGCACAGTGTGAGCACTCAGGTCACATCAGAGCATCGGGTCGTATAGTGTGAGACCCTGCATCGTGACCTGTGAACGTCTAACCCCTGCGAGTCAATCGTACAGTTTGAGCAGGAGCTGAATCGCGCGACTGAAAAAAATCGCAGTGTCTGCCCAGCATTAGCAGTTTCATGATTGAAGTAGCAGCAAGAAGAGGCAGTCGCTTGTTAAGCTTAACGCAGGAATGCTTTACAAACATTCAGAGATGGACTTACACACTTGCTTTACTTCTCTCACACTTGCTTTACTTCTCTCGGGATAACTTTGTCGGAGATGAAATGCCGGGTTGCTAGCGAAGCTCCA